AACAATAATCATTCACAATCCCCGCAACTAAATCATGAAAATATATGTAACTAAATCATCTATTTTATCTCATATAAGATCTACAAAATACAGTAGAACATACACTACCAGATTAGCTGCTGTCAATGCAGCCAAGGCCCAATAATAATTGTCCAAATGGCTCTTGTTCAGGGTGTATTGAAACCAACTGGTCCCTCCCACCTTCGCACTTACCTCACCCACCACATAAACAGACAACACACCGCATATAATTCCCACTCCACTAACAGCTTGAGCAAACATTTTCATGTACATCTTCTTGTCCTCCCTTATTGCCTCTGCATCTACATCTTCCTCCGGTGTCTTAATTTCCAGCTTCTCAGTGAAGATTTTAATAACGCTCCTCTCTGAAAGGTCTTCAGCCACTCCAAGGAGAAGAAACTGTGGAAGCAACCAAAACATGGTCATGGAAATTACTGAAGTTGGCTCGTCAACAAAGCCCTCGCTCTCAACCAGGCCCAGCCTTCGGGTCTCCACTTTCGCAGCTGTGATGCAACATAGGGTTGCAAAAACCATTGACACTGCAATCCCAAACTCGCGAAATCCAGCACACCATTTTATTTCTCTGGCACAAAGCTTTTTAGACAATTCTTGGAAAAAAACGGGAAAGAAAATAACAGGAACCCATAAGCTCCCTACATAGTGATTTAGGTCAGTTGCTTGTTCAATGAAGTAGGTATTTCCAATGGAAATTACCACACCTGTTATGATACAGGTCGTACACGTGGCGATCAGGGTTAGGATGGTTTTGGTATCTTGTACCCTAAATATTTTGGTTAGACGGATGGGTTGTGGTCGAGGTCCACGAGGGTACGAAGATAAACCACTCAAGAAAATAGCTGTAGATACCAGGGTACATATGGCTCCTATCCCAAACCTAATCCACCAAGAGCTTATATAACCAATTGCTAGAAGTGCAGCTGCAGGGAACATGACCATTAATATCACACCAAAAAACTGCTCGGTTGTGAAATAGCTGAGGAAACTGTTGGCCCTGCCGCCGGCAGTGCCATTTGATTCTGGAGTAGTAGTAGTGGTAGTAGTAGTAGTAGGCGTCTGCTGATCAGATTCTGATGATGATGGCAGCAACGGCTCAGATTTTCTCTGCTTCAACAACTCATCGATGAATGTCAGTGTAGAGGCCAAGTGAGCAGACACTCCAACAGCTATTAGAGGTAGAGATGTGTAAAAGAGGATCTTCTGAACTTGGCCAATGCACTCGGCCTCAGATGCGCTGCAAGTGCCTGTTGCCCAAGAAAGGACGGGTGGTGTTGACAGTGTCAAAAGAACCAAACCCTGCAATTATGTCTATTAATTATATTCTGCAAATGCTTTATTCATCTATAATGTATTCATAAGTCTACTTTTTGTTAGTACAACATTTATTTTTATACAAAAATTTAATTATATGCAAAAGTACATTGAAATTATTTGTGACCAGGACGAACTTACAGCGGTAAAGCTAAATCTGGAGAGCAAGATCATCCAGTAGCTACCCGTGAAACCAGTCATGTAGACTATGAAAATCAAGCCCACTGGTATTATACCAACCATGCCCGAGTACAAATTGACAATTGCAGCAGCGTGTGTGATACTGAGCTCCCATACATCAGTTAAGTATGTAGCCATTATCGACATGATATATGTGGTGAGTAAATTCGGCACAACCACAACTACAATTGAAGAGCAGAAGGAGAAAATAATATTAATACACACACAAAAAAAAAAAGTTATGATGAAATATTCTCAATTAGATATTAAAAGTTGGGTTAGTAATTTTTAAGACGCAGTGACTCAAAGGGTGTGTCAGTCGGCTTACCGCTGGCCTTCAGCAGAGACGGTGCCATTTCTGACTCCAAGAGATGGAGGAAGTTGGGGAAGAAAACAGAAAGAGCTAAGAAATCGAACTAGACTATGAATTATTTGTTATGTACCATGAAGTAAATATACTTTATTGAGTTAGGTAAGAGACGATTCCATTATCTTTATATGTTTGGACGAAAGAAAGAAATAATTTAGAATTTAAAGAAAAGTCAAAATTTCAAAATTGACATTTTATGAAAAAAAATTATAAGTATTAATATTTTATAAAGACCATGGTGGTCCAAATTAGTAGTCTCTGGCCGAAGAAAAAGAGAGGTGTATAGTATATGGTTCGCACCGCGAGTTTGCTCATTTTAATATGGTGGCTTGATTAAATAAACTGTGAGTCTTTATTTTGAATATAAGTGATAGTTCCTTTTTTTATTGGGCATGATTAACTCATTAATTATAGAACAATAATTTGGATGGTCATTTGAAATTTCAATAAGGCATCCTCTCGTACCTGCCAAATAAAAAAAAATTAGGACAGCTGTACATACCATTTAATAAGACTCAGATGCTTTTATTTATAATAGTTCATACAATATTTCAACCTTAAGTCGAATTCACACATTGGAAAGTTTGCTCATGTTTTATTTGGACTACTAGCTGTCATTAGTCTTTTTATATTCTGACTTAAAACTAAAGTGTGGACCTTTAAATATATACAAGAGTCGGCAGGCATATATATGTATGTATATATATATATATATATGAAAGCTTCCTAGATTGCATTTTCAGTGATCGG